CTGTTTAACAAGCTTTAGATCAGAAGTAAACCTGGTAGGCTAGCAAGTATCCATCGTTGTACATGTAGATCTGCTTGTTGGTGGGATTGTAGCTCAGACTAGCCACTGCTTTAGCTACCTTCTCCAGTGGTATTGCTAGTGAGTTGTCTTCTTTGCCTGTGGCTGTGTCGAAGGCGTAGAACACCTCCTCCCGGAACTCATTAACGTAACGAGTTGCGTACATCACACCGCACACCATGAAGGCGTTACTTACTGCCTTCTTGAACAGCCTCGTTTCCCACGTCTGTGTCACGTTGAGACTCTTCACCTCGCTGTCCCAAACTAAGCGGCTGATCACAATGTTACCATGGTTACCTATAGTGGCATAGAGAGCCCACAGTCCTGTTTCATCTGCCTCTACATCAACATCACTATTGAGCCGGCAATCGTAGTAACAGTAGGGGAACTTGTTGTTGAAACCCACACCAGTGCCTGGAAGAGTCACCCGTTTGACCTCGTTGGTCTCCAGGTCGTACCGGCAAACGTCTGCAGAGCGGTAGCAGTGATAATACAGAGCCTCGCCATACAGGACGGCGTTCGGACCTTCATTTGTGCTGGGATGACTGTAAGATGAAGCAAATGTATATTCTCTGTGGTTTGTTGAGGCCATGAGGTCTTCATAGGTTTGGTAAAGGCGCACAGTGTTGCCCCAGATGTGGCTGCTGAGCAGAGGTTGAACCCAGTAACTGTTCTTCTGCCCTTCGCTCTCCTTCTGGGATTGTTTTCCCCACGAACCAGAGACATAGCTCTTACCATGAGGACTGACTTTAGCTGTGATAGGGTCACTGATGTTGGTGATCAGACCTCTGAGGCAGTGCCTGTCATGACCTGAAAAGACAGAAAGATCAGGAGGTTTCTGAAGGAGATAATAAGATACAGTCAGGCATTGTCACCTATCGGGATCATTTATTTATGATCCCGTGAGAGCGTCTGTTTGGCTCAAATATTATTTTCAGACAGGATCAGTGAAAATAAGCAAGTTCTTCTAGTTCTTGAGTGACATGGCTTTGTACTGGGTCTTCTCCACCATTTCTTGTGCACAGGTAGAATCAAAATACAAAGAAAGTCCAATAACCCAATCACTGAGAAATACTGTGTTCAGGAATAATTGATTATTACAAATTAATTGATAATTGTCTCTCGCTTACAATCCCACACACCCACAATTTTTTCATATCATAGTGAGGACATCAAATTGACATAATGCTTTCCCCAGCCACCTAGTCTAAACCTAACCATCAAAAATTAATGCCTAACCCTAACCCTGTTGTAACCCTGACACTAAAACCACATTTTGAGCCTCAAACTCATGTGAACGGGCATTTCGTCCGCATAAGTATTAGAGATAGCACGATACCACTTTTTTACGTCCGATACCGATATCATAAATTTGGATATCTGTCGACACCGATATGAATCCGATATAGTGCTTTTTTAATCAATAAAACTTTTTTT